ACACACACACACACACACACACAAACACACACACACACACACACATGCAGGGTTGGTGTGATTGAAGTCTACCACTTTTCTGGGGGGTATCGCCAACTCTGGGCGACATGGTGAGTCCTTATCCATCAGTCAAATGCATCCTCGGCAGACTGTCGGAGTTCAACCTCCTGATGAATCGGTGAACTCTGATGATACAGTCTGGCACTGTCATGCTTTTCTTCGTAGACTTGTGTACAGCGGATATGACAACACACACACACCAATATGACGACACACACACACACACACACACACACACACACACATGTAGGGGTGGCCACTTACCCTAGGCAACGGGTAGCTCCTCAAATCAAAATCTCCTGCAACCCAAACACTGACTGGCGTCTTGAGCCATTCTAGGGTAGTCTGCTCCAGTGGTGAGTATTGATAACCCCTCTGCAATTTGTCTTTCCTCTGTTCCGTTCTTTGCCCCTCCACTTCCCTCCCCTCTTCCCCTTCTCCCTCCCCCATCCCTCGCTTCCTTTAGAACTCCACCCACTACCCCTTTCCGCCTTCCCTCCTCTTTACTACGAGTAAATGCATATGAATGCGCATCATTACGAGAACAGACAAAATATAAGCTGAAGATCTGAAGAAAAATGAACAGGAGTATACCTCCCCCTATACTCTGCCTCCTCTCATAACGTATAAGTGGGCCGTTATGGCACGTGGAGATGTGGGCAGCTGACACTCAACCACAATCAACGTGACCAGCCTTGTACGTCGGAGGAAGAGTGAAAGGGAGCAGCTGCAAGAACAGATAAAAGGGGTACCCCAAAGAAAGGCCAATAAGATAGTCAAGAAAGGGACATAACGAATCTTTTCTGCTCGGAGTCCATGTTGCTTGCAATAGAGGTAAAAGAACTGTTTCATTTTTGCATTGGCTCATCTGAAGTGTGCTTCATGGTCTGTCTGCACTAGAGGTAAAGCTGCTTCAACTTCGGATCTACTTATCTGAATGGAACAGGGCCTGTTGTGTTGAAAATCCTTAACACACACACGGCGCGCGCACTGCAAGAAGAAACAAAAGAGAAAACCCAAAGAAAGCCAAAGTAAGGAAATCGAAGAAAAGACTGCACATCTGGGTGGAAAAGGCGACATAGTATAGGGGTTTTCGTGTGCTTCATGTTGTTTGCTATAGAGGTAAAGCTGTTTCAATTTCAGATCTTTCCACCTTAGAATGCTTCATTATTTTGTCTATGATAGATAGAGGTCAAGCTGTTTCGCTTTTTGATCTGCTCATCTGGGTGGAAAAGGTGTAGTTGCGGCGACATTCTACAACAACACATATGCACACACTCATGTCTCTTTTCTCGGTCGACATCAGCCATACATCGTTGTCTAATGGCTCAGAGTGTCAGAACTCCAACGCAGTTCAACCTACTGAGCCTTTCTCACTCAAAGTACTCAAGTCCGCGATTAGTTTGTGCAGTCTCTCCTTCTTCATCTCTTTATGACTTGCAGGCGGTTTGAAATTCTCCTTTTTTTGCTCTCAACTCGGCCCTTCTGCAAGTTCTTCCTGCCTTTTTTCCCCCTCCTCCAACTTCTTTTTCTCCTTCTTTCCCTTCTTTCGTCTCTCTTCTTTCTTTTCCACCTCCTTTTCCTTTTCTCCCTCCCCCTGCTTCTTTTCCTTCTTTCCATCAACCCCTGTACACTTCCCTTTTTTTAGCATGGCACAGTGGGGGTGAAGACCATTGAAAGCGAAGAAGAAGAACGAGGAGATAAATTCAAGAATCACGGACATACTACTCACGAAAAATCAAATAGTCGTCCACGATGGAAGACTGGTGTATTGCACAATGCTGCGGGTTTCTTACGGCTCGCTCTTTTTTTTTCCACCTGAGATCAAAGGGATTCAAATTCAGCAAATTCATTTGAAATTCAAGGGAATTGTGTCGTCTGAGGCATTTCTGAAGTCTTTGCCATCCTCGACATGGCATTGCTGAAGTCTTTGCCGTCCTCAACGTGATAATTTCTGCAATTCATCACCCATTTCTGATATGCTGATGGTATTTTCTTCCATTTCTGGCCGATTTCTGAAGTTTCTCTTGTCATCAACATGGTCTCTTATGTCTTGCAGGTGCTTGGGAAGCCCTAAGCTCACATGTCAACAACATGCTCGGTAGGATAATCATCAAGGCTGCCATTCTGAATGAGGTGGCAAGCCACATCAGCAGCATTGGTAAGTGATTCAGCAATATTTCTAGGATAATTTATCAATTTGTAATGGACCCAGTCTTGTTGAGAAGCCAATCAGGAATGCACAATTCATGAGTGCCATCTCGTCAAAGAAGAGCATGAGAGAATAGCAGGGGGAGAGAAAAGACAGAGAAGAGGAGGAGGAGGAGGAGGAGGAGGAGGAGAATCTCAATGATAATCAATAGTGCATGCATGTCTCCCTCTCTCCCACTGACACTTTGGGACTCTCCCCTCAGCAGTGTGCGTTCCTTCTGACGTCCTCTGACATAATCACTCTGCAGATCATCACAGGGTGCCCATCCTCCCTCCACGTCAGCAATCGGATATGGAGAATGGTGCAGTGCTTTTCACCTTCGTGGAGACAGCAGCAGATCGCACTTGGCGTCGCCAGGTAAGTCCAGGTAAGCTTCTCCTCGCCTCCCGCTAGTGTAACAGCCCTGATCCTCCTCCTCGCCAATCCTCATCACCTAGTCTTCACCTACGCGGCTTTGGCCGTGCCAACATAATCTCCCTCTAGGCTGGCACCCATCAGCAGCATCTGGCGCCAGCACGCAGCTCCAGCTGCCTCACGATACTGCACTAGCATCAAGCCAGCGCACAGCCAAACGATCTCCACGGGGTCTGGTCGACTCTTTACAGGGTTGACTTGCGTTGACCAGCCTCCAGTCTCTTTGGGTCGACGGCCCAGATGAGTCGAAAGCCAATGGCCTGGATGCATCACAGTTCCCGATTTCCCTTGTGTCCCATTTGGACTGGAGTCTTCTGGATACCTACACGCCAGAAGTCGTGGGTTCAAATCGAATTCTCCGTGAAGATGCGGAGTACCAGCGGACAGCCAATGATGTGCATCTGATCGACGGCGGTGGCTAACCAGCGGGTTGACTTTGACTTCGGGCCTGATTCTCCCTTGCTGGGTCTGACCATTGACTTTCCCAAAGTCAACTGTCTCTCGTGGGGGATCTGGACCCAGTTTTTGACTCAGGTGAGGGTATCCCATCATCCCACGACCCTAGGTCTTTTCTCAGACATTTTCCAGGCTTGGGACGTGCCTTTCTTACCCTGTTTCAGGCCTTTGAGCGAAAGTGACGATCCTTACCCCGTGGCAGTGCGGATTTGAACCGAGTTTATTGCAAATTTCCTAGGCTACCAGCCAGGCCGCCCGGGGCACCTTGTTTGCCCAGGCAGCCTGGCCATACACAACTTTTGCCTTAGGGTCACATCGAAATTCTTTACATTTTTTTTATATATATATTTTTTTTTTTTTCTTAGGCCTGGCCGGGCAACGGCTCCCGCGCCACTCTGGTAGCCTGTTAATTTCTAATTTTCTGTCGATAAGTAGAGTCAGTCGACTATATTTTTTGCACTGCATGCATCTCTCACCCTGGAGGCAATGAGATGGGAAGGGAGGGTGATGGGGGAGTGCGTGCGATCGTGGACACAAACATTTTACATTCCTGTCTCTTATACACATCTAGATGTGTATAAGAGACAGCATCCAGGAACCAGCCCTGGTTCAAAGTTTTTTC